TGAAGCTGTTCTATGAGGGTCTCATCGATATTGATATCTGTGGCCTTGTCATCCTTGGATTTGCTTTCTCACTTATCCTGCTTCCCTTCACACTTGCTAAGAGCGCCAAGGGTGGCTGGGGAAGCCCAAGCATCGTCGCCATGCTGGTTGTTGGTTTCGTCCTTCTTATCGCCTTCGTGCTCTTCGAGATGTACCTTGCCCCCAAGCCTCTGATGACCAAGCACATCATCAAGAACCAGACATTCCTCGCCTCCGTCACCATTTATACGTTCAACCAGATGGCATCTTCGGTTCGCAACACGTACATGTCCTCATACATCTACATTATTAAAGAGTGGACTACTTACGAATGGACGATTTTCATGGGCATCACAACCATGGGTCTCAGTATCGTGGGGCCGATCGTTGGTCTCATCCAGAGGAAGACACATAGATACAAGTCCATGATGGTCTTTGGTGCAGTCGCAAGAGTGCTTGGTTACGGCTTGCTAGTTCAGAGCGACGGCCACATGACTCAAGATACGGCTCGGCTGATCGCTGCGCAATTGATCTTCTGCTTGGGCTCCTTCAACGTCGTCGGTGCTCGTGTGGGTAGTCAAGCTTCGGTGCCACACGAGGACATGGCATCTATCATCTCCCTTCTCACGCTGTGGTCCACTCTGGGTTCGTCAATTGGAAGCGCGGTGTCGTCTGCCATCTGGACCAACGAGATGCTTGACCGCATGCACCTGGAAATGCCGAAGGTGGACAATAGCACCATTGCAAAGATCTATGCCAACATTACTAAGCTGCGTAGCAACTACAGCTTTACTGACCCCGTCAGACAGGGTGCGATCCGAGCCTATGCATATGTCAACGGCCACATTGCAATCACTGCACTGGTGCTAGCCTGCCTGCCCCTGGTTGCCACCTTCTTTATGCCCGACTTCTATTTGGGCAAGCAGCAGAATGCTGTCACCAACACTGGTCTCGATGGTGACAGAGTTGATGTACCTCAGAGAGGATCTAGGTCTAACGAGGGGGCTGACCAAGGAAAGGCGAAGTCGTTCTATCGGAAGCTGGTCGCTGCCTACAGGAAGGAGCAGATCTGAGTTTGTTGATATCATATTTCTGTGACCTGTTGGGGAGATCAAGTCAGCTCTCACACCCCTAATTTCAGTCGGCAACTTCGGCCTGCTCTACGGATTATAGGGGATTGGGTTATCTCGCAGTCGGAACCAGATATTTATTCCACACTTGCAAAGATGAGCGTTGATGTTTTTAGGCTTCTACTTCTGATTGTCTTGACATTACTCAAAGAATAATTTTTAGCATTAATTAAAGAATAATCTTAACATTACTCAAAGAATAATCTTAACATTACTCAAAGAATAATCTTAACATTATTCAAAGAGTAACCCGTAAGCTCAGCCAGAACTCCGGGAACGAGTTAAGTGCTGACAATATGATCTGGTAATAGAAGATGATATTACTGATATGAGAGACAAGTATAGACTATTCCTTGACTCTTGGAAGAAAAAAAACAATTCTCCTTAACTATAACTGCGTGTCGGCAATTTTGGCTTCCAACATACTTGCGTTGTCCATTAATTCAGAGTAAAATTCACACTCGCAAGGCCTGTCCGGAATCAGTGCATCTTGGAAAAGCCATCACTCCTGATAGATCGAATCATGGCCATCTGGGATTAAAGACTGCGCGCGATAATTCAAGGCGCAATCGGGACGATAGCTGCATACAACCCCATCAGGCATCTTGTCTTTGACTTGGAATCCGGCCGGTCGATCCGTTTCGTGCCGAACAACCGACTGCCCCCACGCTTCACACATCTGGGTGATAATATCCCACGGCTCCGCCCAGGCATTCCACCCATCCTTTATTCCCGTCGCTGGAAGTATACCCCGAGATACCACATCATCACCAAGTAGGTAGGTGACATCAAATGGGGCCCATAAGCTACGATGCTACTCGTTGTTTCACGCAACAGAGGGTTCCCGGAGCACTTCTTGACAACAAAGACTAAAGTGATGGGCAGAATTAAAGTTCGATTTGGTGGATTGAATTCATAATTGGATTCTCAAACTGTTTGTCAATTTATGTCTGCCGAACTCTAATCGGTAGTTCGGTGTGCAAAGACCTTCCTCCTCGGTGAAACCTCCGACCCCCTCCCCCTCACATGTCGATCACTACCCTGGGGAATCCGGGGTCAGGGTTTGCATATATAGGTATGTACTCGTGGGGTTACAATCAGGATGAACGGTCTGACAAATACACTTCCTTCTCCTCGCACTTCGATACTTTGGAATTTTCATCTTCGTTTCCCTCTCGCTTCCTACACCCATCGCCATGGAAGGATGGTACACCTTAGGGGTCGCCCTGTTCGCGGCCCTGGGCACGAATTTATTTGGATTTGATACAGGTTCGTAAAACTCACCGCCAGTCTTGTTAGGATTAGAAGATTGGCCACTGTAGCGACGGCGGTGGTTGTTGCGGCTACGGAAATCTTGTTCTTCGATTCCTTCTCCTAAAGACTCTTGCTAAAGGGCTATTGTGTTAGGCATCGCTACTACTACGATTGCACATCAGAGTTGGATTGAATACATGGGAAAGCCCTCCAATGGATTGACTGGCGCTGTTGTAGCGCTTTATGTGAGTTCTTCCCGCATAGTTGGCCTACTTGGTGTGCTGCTTGCTACATCGTTTTGCGGTCTACTCATGCCGTCCTCTCTCGCCTTTACTGTAGTGCTAATCTTGATATGAACTCAATAGATCGCAGGAGAAGCCATCGGTTCTTTACTACAAACCGCCATTGGTGATCGGCTGGGCCGTATTCGATTCATGCAATTGATGTGCATCATCGTCACCATAGGCACCGTCATCCAAACCGCATCCATCAACATGGGAATGTTCCTCGCCGGCCGAGCGATTGCAGGAGTTGCTGTCGGTGGAATGGTTGGCACAGTCCCCCTGTATCTTTCCGAGATCAGCCGTCCTGAAAACAGAGGCCTCATTGGTGGTATTTCCGGTGCCGGGATTGCATTCGGTTCCATGCTGGCCAACTGGGTTGGCTTTGCCTGTTCGTATGCTCCCTATGGTGCGGTTCAGTGGAGGCTCCCTCTGGCAATCCAGATTCCCTGGGGTGTCATTATGTTCATCGGCCTGGCCACGTTCATGCCGGACTCACCTCGCCAGTTGATTCGAGCAGGGAAAGTCGACAAGGCCCGCATCGAATTTCTCAAGACTAGGCGCGGTTCAACGCCCGAGGACATACAAACCGAGTTTGCCCAGATGAAAGCACAGATTGAATACGAAAAGGAGAGAGAGGTGACTTCGTGGAAGGAGATCTTTCGGTTGTTCCGACGCCGCGCGTTGGGTAAGTACACAGCTCTGAATTAGAGAGTGTGCAACCTGTATGCTAATTCAAACACCGAAGTGTCCATTGCCGTGCAAACCATGACGAGTTTAACCGGCGTCAATGTCATCCAGTACTACCAAACAACTTTGTACAAGTCGCTCGGCATTGAATCACACCAGATCCTTGCTCTGTCTGGAGTTTATGGCACTTGTGCTTTCATAGCCAACTGCCTTGCCATCAGATACCTCCTTGATCAATGGGGTAGACGCAAGATGCTTATTACAGGTCTTGCTAGCGTTGCTTTGATTCAGATTTACGCAGCTGTGATGCAGCGAGAGTTCCAGAACACTGATAACCGCGTCGGCAAAGGATTTGCTATTCTGGGTATCTATCTCTTTGTTATTGCGTACTATAGCATGCTGAACAGTACGACATGGCTGTACGGCGTGGAGGTTCTGCCAATTGCCTTACGATCAAAGGTTATGGGAATTGCTGCTGCATCCCATTTTATTGTCAACGTGGGCATCACTGAGGCCGGGCCGGCGGCCTTCTCAACAATCAAGGAGAACTATTACTACGTTTTCGTTGGATGCTCAACGTTTTTCCTCGTCATTGCCTGTTTTTTCTTCAAGGAGACACGCCAAAAGACCCTGGAGGAGATAGCAGAGGCTTTTGGAGATCAAATCGTCTTTGCCGACGAGAGGCAGATCGTGGAGGAAGCGGCAGCGGAGGCCAAGTTGGAGGAGGTATGGCTCGAGAATGGAGTTCGCGGTGGCCCGAGCAAGTGATGCTCTGACATTCCACAAATACATTGGACTGTGATGAGATATGCTTCCGGTTTGTGATATATTAGTTATGTTCAGTAGTTACTTTAAGTGCCTTCGATTGATGATAGAGAGCCAAAAAGAAACATACTAGCTAATGCGTGATATACGATAGGTTCGAATAAGAACATAGATCGGGTTTTTAATTGCTAGTTACCTGCCGCATCTTCAAATTAGATGCTCTATATGTCCGAGTTTGCTCGAAGAAACTCTTCTAAAGGAGTCCCCCGAACACCAAGCTTCTCATTATCCAATGCTTTCATGTCCCACCTTTGGATCACAATATGGTAGTTGTAAAATCGTCTAATGTAATCCCACCTTGCTTTAGGCGATGCATTCCTTTGACCGTCCAGTGCGAGCGCATGAAGTTCCTTAACTGGACCTAGAAAGTTTAGCTTGACGGAGACACTCCTAACCTTTTCATAGATCTTTGCCATCCGTTTCAAGCTGTCGGTCCCGGAGCTCACACACCAATATCCTCCGCCGACTGCATCGTCTCTGAGGATGACCTGTGCCGCAAACTCAGCGGCACCGTGTTCACAAGCCCTGTGCCACTTCTTATCGCCACTTCCCTAGATCTCAAACCACTTAAGGGTCCCAAGGGCCATAGTGTTTGGTAGAGAAATCATGTCCTTGGTAGCAAACAATACTAACCTGGAGCCCTAGTGAAAATGTAAGTGGGGTTGATGCTTGAAGACTGGCGGGCTTGCGCATTAAACGAGAGGAATCCATCATACGAATCCTGCTCCCCTAGCTACATGCCCCGACTGCATACCCCGATAATCTGCACAGAAGTTAGAGGCAAGGAATCGTTGCACACCAGTTAACCAGCCCTCTCCGCCGCACGCAAGAGGATGAGCTGCCCATCGAGCTGCGGGTACGGCGCGCCGTTGTCCACGCCGGCGCAGGCCTTCTCGATCGCAGGGATATCGTAGTACGACGTGGCCTTGACAAAACTCTCGAGCTTCTCGAACCTTTCGGCACTGATCTTCTCGGGGTGGCGGGGCAACAACCCAGACTTGGTGGCCCCTGCTTATGATACTGTCGATGAGCTGAAAGCCAAGACTTCCTGTAGCACCAGATATGAGAACTAGGATTCTTGCTTAAGCACTAGTCGATAGTCTGCTATGCGGCGATGCTATTTGCCAAGCTATGAGCAAGTGGGAAGAACACACAGGGCTCCTTTATGAGTAGAAACGATTTTCGATGACAAATTGCTCCGACATCAATCTTTGTTGCCAAATCGGCACTGAAGGGTGTAATAGGTCGGTCGACAAACCCTTTTCGTAATTGATTTTCCTAACGGGTCGATGATTTTCAATCACATATCGTCTACTCGCTTTCATCTCGGCCTCGGCCATCAATGCCAAAAGTCCGAAATCGAGCGCTGCGCAAGCCTAGCCAGATTAGATCTGTTAAAAGTGGCAATTTGACAACGGCATACGGGTCCAGCAGGGTTGTACGGTTCATATGATGCCACCAGGATCGCAATTGCAGCAGTAACATGCCGGAACGGGCAATGCAACAGCTCTGCTATACGCGACCGGACAAGGATCTGCCCGGAGATCAGATTACGGGTGTTTTGATATTATTTTCGAGTATTAGCAAACACTCAGATATCGCCGGTATTAAATGGAGCAATACGTCAGTTTAACTCCGACTGACTTGACCGTGCTTCGTGATGCATAAATCTGCAGAGTAATCCAGATACAGTGTGCAATTATAAGAAGATCGAGCTTCCTACTGTTTTTTAAGTGTAGTAATTACTAAACCCCCAACGAATACAGAGAAAATGGCTGACAAGTACTCACTCAGTGGTAAAGTTGCCATCATAACTGGTTCAGGGCGTGAGAATGGAATCGGCGCGGGCATAGCTTACGCATTTGCCCGACATGGCGCTTCAGTCGTTATCAACTATGTTTCGGATTCTAGCGCTTCCCGAGCAAACAAGGTCGCCGAAAATGTTCGAGGGCTTGGTGGGAAAGTAGCCGTCGTTCAAGGCAGTATCATGAGTCGGCCAGGAGCCAAGCACATTGTCCAGAGCGCACTGACCGAGTTCAATGTGAGGTCAATTGATGTTTTAGGTATGTACATGTTTTCTGGGTAGTATTGATTTACGTTGAGGCTCTGTTTCTCTTAGGCTAGTGGCTAAGTTCTATGTATGCAGTCAATAATGCCGGTGGTCCTGTCAAATCTCATGGGAGTATTATGGACTATGAGCCCCAAGAACTGCTCGACGATTTTCAGCTGAACTGTTTTGGTGCTCTATACATGATACAGGAAGCCGTGCCCCATATGAACCGTGGTGGGCGGATTATCAACATTGGAGCAATGTCTTCTATAACTTATGTGCCCGGTATGCCCATATACTCGGCGGCCAAGGCGGCGTTGGACCACACAACGAAATCCCTCGCAGTTGAGGTAAGTTTCTACCACTTTCATACACACAAATCTCGAAGTATGATCTATGCTCTAACGAAAAAATGGTACAGTTGGGCAAGAAGAGCGGAATCACTGTGAATGTCGTTGCACCGGGACTCACATTGACAGATCAGCCTTTGAGTTTGGACGAAGGTCTTAGGGCTAAGGTAATCGACCTGGCTGCTGAGAAGTCAAGTGCCGGCAATAGAGTCGGAACCATCGAGGATATCGCCGATGTCGCCCTATTCGTGGCCTCTGAAAAGTCCAGATGGATCACTGGGCACGTGTTTCCAGTTGGAGGCGGAATGTATTGAGCGGCCAAAATCTCTGGTAGGAACTTGCAAGCTGTATGCCTAGCCAATCTTTTTTATTTTGACATATATAGAGTTTCTTGGGATTGCTCGAAGTCTAAAGTGAATAGAGAATATTATTCCGTCTGATGCATCATCTTTGGGCAAGTCAAGGACAATGCCTGATTGGCAATTTTCTTCGAACTTTGCCGATTAGCGGGCGGTAGACTAGATCCTTTTCAACTCCGAGCATGGGACTTCCGATTATATCTTTGACCAAGTTCAACAACGGAAGTACCAAACATGAAAACGATTCTATATAACACAACTTCATGATGATCATATGAGTGCGATAAGAGTAACAAGAGTGGTTCCAGACCCGAAGCCGGAGAGAACCCTTATGATATTAATCTCAAACTATTTCAACAAAAAAACAGTCTGTAGGAATGATGTAGCCCTGATTGTAAAATGTAATGATTGAATAAATTCATGTTCTAAACTAAAAAGCGGAAAAAAAGACTGAAGACTCCACGCCGCGACCTGGTAAATCACCCGGTCAAAACCTCGGCTCGCTAGACATAATGCTCCCACCGTCTCTGCCTTTCCTTCTAATCGAATTCAAAAGTCTGATTCTAACGTTCCAGCGCTAGTATATGTCAGCTCGGCAAATGAATTGGCCGAGCTATAGTTGCTCTGCGGTTGTGAAACCTGTCACATTCTAATTTCGTGCCAAACGGCCATATCCTGTGTCTCTTCCTGCCATATAACTGTTATTCAGGGCTCTAGGTCAGCTTGTTCAATCAGTATTCACTTACACTCAGGCTTCGGAAGCTGGGTAATGATGGAAGGAATGATGACCTGGCCGAATCCAGCGCGAAGCACTTGAGTGGCACGCCACGGGAAGCATTGGGGGCCTTGAAACAATGGGGATCGATAATCGACCTGAAGGATGCATTAGAATCTTTTCAAAGCATTGAGAAACTTCATTGGGACATACTCGGTGGGCGGCTGATGCACCAGAAGATAGCAGAAGAGCTGCGGTGGCGAGGACGGAGAACTGCATTGTGGGAATTTGGAGAGATTTTTTCGGTTTATTGATATAAAGAATCAAGTCGAGTATTCTTTAAGAGATGCTGTAGGAATGCTAGTGATAGATAGAGAGAACGGGCTTTCATCTTGGAATTGTTCATGATTTATATCCTGATCCAAGGCGTTCGAGGCGTTCGAGAAGGCATTCGCCATTCGGACGATACTACCCAATTCATCACCAACAAAAGGCAAACTAAATTAGCATTGCTTAACTCTCGAATCTATTCGATATTCAGTCATGATAGGTTGCCTGGCTGGAAGCCGATCTTACGTGTACATCTCGGCTTCTTGCCATGAGTTTTCAGTTGGGGAGGAAAATTACCGCATTGGGAAAGATAAATCGCGATTTCAGGAACACGAGCTAGCCGCCCTCGTGGCAATCCACAATGCGTCATTGCAGTAGAAGTTTTAAGATTTTTACCGTTCCAAAGTATATCGGTACTGATAGCATTGCCTGATTTGATATCTGGCCATCGAAGTGCTCATTGTAGGAGATCTAAATTGACCTTACAACACATTATGCTAGTGGTTGCTACATTTACACAGGCACCGTGGCAGAGAATTGAAAAAAATGACAGTATTCATCAATTAATCTGTTGCTCTGAATCTACATAGGAACTATGAACTAGCTAGGGCCGACGTGGCTACATGCTTGGCCACCAATCTCTTATGGCCATTGTTTCTGATGTATTCATACTTGAGGTACCCGCAGTTCTTTTCACGCAGCTCAGCCGCACGGTTCAGAGTTCCCAGTGCGCCATGAGTCTCCAGCCACGCAGAGCGGTTGCACAAGGCATCGGCTTCGGGATCTTGAGAGGCATTAACCGCCTTTTGCCCTCTCATCGCCCTCCAGCTTGTAGAGTGATGTTGTTCAGCAGCATCAACGAGAGCCATGATGTGGATTTTAGTCTGTAAAATCAGCACAGATATATCATCTGTAGAGCGCCTGACGATTTCAGTTCGTGATTTAAGGGCCCCGATGAGAAGCTGAGCTTGGACAATTTCAAGAATCTCAGGGAGCATGAAACCATTCAATGCCCGAAAAGTATTCTGAATGCTCAGAAGCTCATCGAGGACTCGCATCTTGACGAGAATCAAGGCAGACAGCATGAAGTAGTTCAGGTCGCTGGGTAGGCTTGGCCATGTGTCAAGTCGGTTCTCCACCTCGAATGCGGGATACTCGAGCACATCTGCATTCTTGACACCCAGGTATCCCAGCCTCGAATTTCCCCAACCCCAGCCGTGCTCAACCGCGACATACCATTTGATGAAATCATACGCCTCCTGGTCTCTGCCAAGCCGAAGCAGTAGCGAAGGCACGAAGCGTCCAAGCTCGGAGATGTCGTCCTGCTTCTCGCGCATCACCTCCAGGCAGTGGTCCAGGGCAGTCTCGACAACATGCCGCCGACCGCCTGCCTGTCCAAACTTCTCCAGGAGGACTAAGATCCACCACCGCCGGGCAGCTGTGTACCTCCGGGCCTCAGGCAAATGGTGGCGAGGGATGGTGGGGTGGCGGCCATTGAAGAAGGAGGCGCGGAATGGGATTTCTTCCTTGACGACACCGGCCAAGGCGCTCCCGACGGCCTCGCACGCGGGCTTGTGGGCAGCCTGGTGTGAAAGGCGATGTGACTGGCTGCAGTAGTAGATGGCTTTGCAGCCTGTGCAGCGGCGGAGGTTGGCAGTGCTGCCACACCATTCGCAGGCCATGGGTTGCAGGGACGGGCGCGAAGGAGTCATGGTGACGGTTGAGGCGGCCATCCTGCGGGAGGGGGCGGTGCACAATTGAGCGATGCGGGCGACGGCCTCAAATGTGCATTGCTGTCGGGTTGCTGTTGGTGCTGTTGTTGGTTCAATCAATGTTCAATGTTGGTGGTTGGTGGCTGAAGGCTCCAAGGCTCAGTTCAGGTTGGCGATAATGCCGGCCGCAGCACGTGACGTGATGTGACGCGAAAGAAAGGGGACTTTTGGGTGTTTGTAGGCAACTGCCACGGTTTTCCGCCCTCAGAAACACGCAAAGGACCAACAATGCGCGGGGGCCATTCACGAATGTGACTGGCCGTCAAAAAACCGGCGAAAACCACCTGCTGACTCCTAAATCAGGCTACGGCACAAACAATGGCAGCTCCCCGATCGAAGCCGGCCAATCCGCTGACGGTTCGCAGCAAACAGCGTGAGTCAGGGGCCATCCGCGGCACACAAATCGCCTGGCCCCCAAGAACCCTGTGACATGATGATTGACGTCCTTCTGCCGTTGGGCCAATGGAGGATGCTATATCGGGTCCGTTAGAGTTGAAAATAGAGATCTTATGTATGGCCAGCCCTATCCCCAAGTCCATTCATGCTCACCTATGCATGAATTACCAGACAGCCAATCGCCTAGCAGCCTTTGCTTGGTTCTAAGAATACCTGCCACCAATTACTGCTCGTCTCAGCACAGCTGGCATCAGTGTGTGGCCGGGCGCCATCATTCAGCGCATCATTGCGGTCTCTATAGGGACATCATTTCATCTCCCAACACCAATTACACTTCTACGCCATAGGTTACCAAATATAGTACATCAGTTCCTCTATACAAGGTCAGTTGTGCACTTGCACCATACTTCCATCGCATATATCTGGTACCTGCAAGGTGGCAAAGCAGCAACAGAGCGAGCGCCAGCGCACGGGATGACGGCTCATTAGACTACCTCACTACAAATCTAGGCTGCTAAAATTGAGTCGCATCTCATGATGTTCTAGTGTTGAATATGATGCTCTCGTGCGATAAAGTGCGACGCCTAAAGTCAAGCATCGGGGTTCTTTTAAATGGAGGGATAGTGTTGTGGTGCCCAGTGTAGTTGTCATCCTGCTTTGTTTCTTTCGTGTTGGCTAGGACATCTATATGTACTATGGTATCTCGCGCCGCATGCGTTCTTGCCCTGGCAGTGCAGAAAGTTTGTAAATAATTTGCACGTTAAGCAAATACCTCTCCTCGAGAGACGAGAGATGCGCTACCAATTGAAAGGTCGATAGGATACGGCATCCGTGCGTTCTGTGTGAAGCCTCTCTTTATCTTGAAAGGAAGAGTAGAAAACTTGTGACATGATTGACAGAGAAGTCTTTGAGTGAATACAGGTTTCACCAGCCTGAAGATACAGAAGATTAGACATTGGGGAGGAGAAGTAATTATGTAGTTCTGATCTTTGAATACCAAAACGATGGGCTTCTTTCTCATAATCCAGCCTCTCCATGCCCTCCATTTGAAATAAAAACTGGGGTTAATAATTCATTATAGGCCAAAGGAGATCGATTTAAGTCACAGCAGGTAGTAGGCAAACACGACGGAGTGAGCTTGCTTTCCTTTGTTACACCTCATCTGTGTATTCTCAAGAAAATAATCTGGAACCTTCATTTCTACAAGTTTCAGACCTTGGCTCATAAGTGAATCTCAAACTCTCCCCGCCTCTGCTCTATTCTAGACCAAAAACCCGCTCAACCCGACAATTGTTCCAGCAAATGCAAGCAGCGAACGGTAATAATCGAGTCTTCCCCATTCCATGACAAGATCTTTTAGATCCTGTGCTCCTCCAGGCTGCTTCGAGCTACCATCGATCTCTCCCAATCGATCATTGATAGCCTCATTAAATGGGTAGGAAGAGATAATAGTGAAGGGTACTATGCTGCCGACGATAACACTAGCAGCACAAAAGAGTTGAAACCGCGTGTTTCCAGCCTTGGTGAGTTCATTGTATGCAAGGTATGCGAAGCTCGCGGAGGTTCCGGTGACGATGATCTTGCCGACATATCGGCCGACACCCCAAGCGCGCTTCCATTGTTGGGCAACGAGAGGCGACGGTGCTTTCACCACTGCAGGTACAAAAACGTAGGCGCCGTTGAAATAGTAGCCTTCCCAGAGTGTTGGTGGCTTCGTAGCATATAGAAAAACTCAGCACCAATGTTACCCGCCACTCATGAACCCGGACAGAGTCAAGGTTAAAGCTTCTGCGGAGATCGGCATCCTGAAGATACGCTAGATGCGCTTTGACTAACTTTAAGTTGTTTGGTTTTGAGTTTGTTGGAATTATATAGCATGAGTCTTGATTGAGGACGACTTTTATAGACAGTGATGGGTTCTCTCGTCCTAATAAGCAACTGGTGATAATGCATTATCCGGCCTATTTGCGGTCGATCCTCACCTTAGCTAGGTCTTGCCACTGAGGCTTTTGACAACAGCCGCAGATAAAGATTGCATGATAATCTCGGCCTCGGTATCGTACAAGTTCCGAAATATAGGCTCCTCTAGTATCAAGAAATATTATCATCGGCTTCCGCGGCCGCCTCCATTACCGCGATAATAATCTGAATGCAACCGGCCGAAAGTCACGTTGATATGTCGGTATTCGGACTTCCTAGTCATTTAGGAACCTAATCCACTGGCTGGTTGTACGATGTCTTCTGTTCAATGAGGCATATTCAACATATGGTCGCGGTCTCGGAGCGTTAATCGATTGGCCATCTTTGTTTACATGATAAGGACAAGAATATATTGATCCCACGCAGAAACGGTTATAAAAGCTGCCTAGTCGGGGTTAGGATTTGGAATGCTCGAAATTGGTTCAAAACCTGACACCTGTGTCCTGGGTTCGACGTTTGCGCTTCTAATGAATACTTTTCAACGGCCTTTAAGGCTCGTGAGACATCCCGGATCATCTTGTTTGGAAGAATATAATGAGATTGTCACTACCTTAAGACAAGCGACTAAAACGCACTCATTTACGATGTGATGTGGTCATTGATTTTAACTTAGCTTCTTTGCGTTATCCTTCGTGGTATAGATTCGGGTGTTGATGTGATCCTTCTCAAGACACGATTGCGGCCATAGCTATTTGCTATTGTCAGAGGTATTCAATATATGTAGCTGACAAGAATCCTCAAACTAAACAACGGCATCTTCCAACACCACGGTGTTCTTAAATACTTTGTCCAGCTTAAGCCATTCGTGCGCCACATTGGCTATTCACAGCCACACTCAATCTATGAGAGTTCCTGACCTCACGGGCTGTCAACTTATCTCACGTGGAATTGGTGAATTGTCTAGAAAAATACACTACGTAACTGCCATCCCTAAACCCATAAGAGTAGGTAGGTAAAGAAAGTACTAGGCTCTAAATCAAAGCTACTATTCCCTTGTTCTAGATTATGGTTCTTTGTTTTGATTCATACAAACAAATACGGACAATCAATCAGCTATCAGTACCATGGAATCGGCTACTGTCCATACTGCGGAACTACAATCGGCCATGGCAATGACAGAGTTCGAAGAATAAGACTTGGCAATCCTTCGGGATATCTTACGAGGCCTCTTGGGTATTGAAACAGTCATAGAATCCAAAGGGTCCCGAATCATCAGCGAATTTATCGTTTGGATTGACAGGTGGAACGACAGGGCGTGCCTGAGGGGCCGCGCAGCCCTACGATCGCCATTGCAAATTCATTGATGATCTTCTCAGTCAGCGGTTGTAATGGTCAGACGGCCTTGAACACCGCAGAAAAAGGTACCGCCTCGCGAGCTAGGTGAAAATTCCTGTAAGGTGGCTGACGACCATTGGTTTGCCTCATTCAATGTTCTCACCCCAGCCAAAACCTCGTTGACGAGTATATATCACCTACCCGGGGAATCCCGAGTAGGGGAAGGAACTGCTGTCAATACCTCGTCTTCGTTTTGTGCGAGGGGCAATGCGATTCTTGGTTCTTTTGCCTGTATCCTCGGGCTTTTTTTTTTTTGCTCCCCAGGTGTGAACACGCTTGAAATCGGATTATCAAATCAGCCTAGAAGGCATCAACAGTCGACCTTGGGCTTCGGTTCCGATCTCACATCATAGCATCCCAGAAATACTGCTCTCAGCAAACACAACAACAGCAACAATGGTGTATTAAGTTTCCACTGTTTCTCCAAAACTCTGAGTACAGCCAGCCCAATCACAGGTACCTCAGAGCTCAGGATTGCAAAGACCAAGCTAGCTGCTACCTTATAAAGTGAGCGTCAGAATAACAGGGACTACAAATTTGTTATAAGATGTCTACTTTCTTATACAAGTCATCATCATAATAATGAGAGAACAGCGTACAATACTAATAGCTTATTTAGCGATAACTAGACAGCATTGGCTATTATAACACGAAAGTATCGACTTTTCTAGCACAATAGGAAGTTCTGTTATTGACTGCTACATAATTCTGCCGAGCTCACTCTGCGGTCCCTGTTTTGATGCCGGCCATTTGCTTTATTCTCAATGTCCGTCCCCTGTCTCAACAAAGCCTCTATTCTCATTCTCACCAGACCCACATAGTACCAACGAGGCTCTTCTGTATGAAAGATATATCCAAACTGGGCACAGTTGATTATTTACGTGAAATATTTCACCTGGTTTGTAGTCAGCTGTTTTTATTGCTCACTGAAAAGCTAGAGACTGGTTCACAGTTGTCTGGCCTGACGCTCCGCTAAAGTTCTTGCTGATGTCAAGAAACTGTAAAATGCACGTATTCAATCGTGTCTTGACCGTAGAGCTACACCAAAAGCGTTTACTCATTAGAGCTTGCCTTCTAAGCTTAAATCAGTATCAACATTGCGAGCCAAAAGCTTTAGGTTAGGGGTTCAGTCAGCTTGTCATCAAGGCCCACTTTCTGGAAGGTAAGATTAATTCACGGTGTGAAGGACTGTTCGTTCATCTACCCATGTTCTCATCCTTTCTTTGCTTTGCTTTTGCTTCTTTCGTGAAGAAATGCTCAGTTGACACGCGCTGAGCAATACTGTCCCACCTGAACCTCTTGAAGTGTCTACAGTGGGAGAAAACTGGTTTATACAAGTCTTTGTGCATGCACAAATGAGGATGTTCCCTTGGCGCGTTTGGTGGACATTGGATGAACGCGCATCATGCTGCTTATTTTGGCGTGGACAAGCCATGCATGGGTCACCTGGCTCGTACGGGACAGCAAAACCTTCCCTGCATGAACGTGGGTGCCTGTCTTCTTAGCGTTGGCCATGAAACTCGTTGTGCTTACAGACGAGGAAATTACGTGTCTGGCGGCCGAGAATGGACGTGGCTGAGTACTTAGTACGTTCGGACTTCCGGCTCGCTCCCATCAGCCTTGCCAAGGTTTATATATAACTCCCGCGCCGCCAACAGGGGGCCTGGTTCTAATTCAAGTGGCTAAGTGCCCAAGTATAGCCTTTGAATGGGCCGTTGCCTGCTGCGGCGATCTAGATTGGCCGTTCCCTACAGTAAACTAGTAAGTGTTGAATGGCAAGTGGGTTTGTGAGTGCAACGCAGACCCTTGGAAAAACCTCTAGGGCTGAGCATAGCCTGCAGTTTCAGCTTATGCGTGGGGATTTTGGTGATAAGCCATGCCATGCTATGACCAACAGAAGGATTGGGTATTTTTGGAGAGGACTCGTACCGACTCCTCGCCAGCATTATATATGACCCTGAGGTTTCCCATTCTCCTGTTTCCAGTCCCATCTTCCCAGCAAGCGGTTGCACAAGGCAGAGACAGTAATTCTACGCAAGAATCATACTTTGACAATCCTTGTCCTACGAACAATTAAGCACCTAACCTCTATCAACAAACCAGACCACCCTTGTCCAAAATGTCTGAGTCATGGGAAAGCAGTCTCTGCGGTTGCGGATGTGGATCTTGTCTACTGGGCACCTTCTTGCCCTGCCTGAGTATGTCCTTGCCTCAATGCTGAACCATTTTCACACTTACTTGATGCTTACTGTCTGTTACTAGTTGCTGGCCGCACAAAGTCTAGACGTGAAGACCCCTCAAACCCATCCCCTGATATGTGCAATGGCGACTGTGCTGTCTACGGTCTGCTGCACGTCATTGGATGCAGTTGGATCTTTACCATGATTAGGCGAGGAGATATCCGAGGGCAGTACAACATCCAGGGAAGCGGATGTGGCGATTGCTGCACTTCCTTTTGGTGCCCCTGCTGTGCAACCATTCAGAACGACAATGAAGTCAAGGAGCGACTCCTTTCCTCAAGGCCGGTCGAGCAGGCCTACCAGCCCCAAAAAGGCATGCAGGTACCCGGCCATCAGTAGCTGGGCTGGGTTGAATGACGTGAATTATTATTCGGATGGCTACTATCTTTTGTTGTATATATTCTTTCTTCTCATGTACCTAGGTACATGATTTGTTTACCTTCTCAATAATTTCTTCTTCACGTATACTACCAAACCTACAGGATTTGGCTTCTTGTCCCGCATACTCCGTTGGCCCCTGACATGATATTGTTTTGAATGACCGAACATGGACATGTTGTATGACTTGTGATCGAAAAAGCAAGATATCGATTTCTGAAGGGGCCATAAATCCATTTAGGTAGAATTTGGGGCACAAAATCCACCGCCAGGGCTTATATCTTCCACGAATAAAGATGTATCCAGTGAGACGATAAGCAATCAAGGGCGGCCCCCTTGACGATACTGTAAATGAAATGGTCGCGGACATATCCGTGTGGCAGGATTCTCCGCCGGAACAAACCCGGGTGGAAGTCTAATTTATACAAGTATGCTTATAATTTGGCGTGACCTGGATTGATAGTTGAGGGGCTTCTTCCTAGGATTGGTGGAATGTTGCAACCCTATTGCTTGAGTTTCTCCTTCCGTCATACCTCCGCATTTTCCTATTCAGGCACTTCGCTGTAGTTCTTGATATGACAGAATCGAGAGCTGAAGAGTGGATATTATATTTACTGCAGAATCACAACATTGAAAGAGAAATTTCGTGCAAATATAAATCAGACGATTGCCGCTAATCTTGCCCTCATCCGAACTTTGCTGCTTAAGATCGTTTCATGCCAAGGCCTTTGATTACACTCAAATTCAACGACACACACTCAAATCTACCTAGTCATCTTTAAACATGAAATCTCTTGCAGTTTTCTTGCTCTTCCCTTTGGCTCTGGGGTGCCTCAACCCTACCAGCAACTCGTGCGCTAGCTACATCAAGTCCAACTCGGCCACTGCCTCTCCTTTCTGCGCAACATTCACAAAGAGCTCCGTCACTGCAACGACCTCCCTGCCATCATGGGCAACAAACTGCTCCAACAAACCCAGTATGATCTCTGCTGAGTGCTCTTGCCACTACAGCGGATCAGCTACAGCCACGACGACCAAGACCACGACCACTGGAGGAGGTGGTGGTACAGTTCCAACTGGCGTCACTACAACCTTGCCTGCGTCTGCAGGAGCTACGTCGACCAGCAAGGCTATCACGGTGAGTGGCTCGTTCGACGGTGGAATGAAGAAGTATGACCGCAGCCGTAAGTGACTATCATTTGTCTAAATGAATGTCTCTTAATGTTAGACTAATCGAATCTTTCGTATTATGGAAATACAGCCAGAGTCTGTGCAGAGCAAGACGAAACCGGAGAGGCCGACGCTATGTTTGTTTTGGAGGATGGTGCTACCCTCTCAAACGTGATTATCGGACCTGATCAGGCCGAGGGTGTGCACTGTAAAGGAACATGGCACGTTATAGCACCCCTCTAGTCTTTCTAGGAAATGTACTGACAAATATTCCAGCACACTCAACAACGTCTGGTGGGCCGATGTTTGTGAAGACGCTCTGTGAGTCAAGTCTCCTTTCCCCGCGCTGCCGTATCCTATCTAACTACGATTATCGCGCAGCACACTCAAGCAGTCCAGTGGCACTTCCTACGTCAATGGTGGAGGTGCATTCAAGGCTGCGGATAAGATCATCCAGTTTAACGGAAGGGGCACAGTCCAGATCCAGAACTTCTATGCCAATGATTACGGTAAGGTGGTGCGAAGCTGCGGCAACTGCTCCAACAACGGCGGCCCTCGCAACATCATCATGAACAACGTGGTTGCTGTTGACGGAGGCGTGCTTTGCGGCATCAACACTAATTACGGAGATACTTGCGTCATGACAAACTGCTGCCAGGACGATGGCAAGTCTTGCGACCGGTACACTGGAAACTCCAATGGCAGTGAGCCGAGCAAGATCGGATCTGGGCCGGATGGCACGTACTGCAAAGTTTCTGGAGCCAGTACTAATTGTTGAAATTTGTCAAAAGCTACCGAGCCAAGACAGTAGTTTGTCAGCCAGCTTAAGAGATGTGCTACATTGGTAGTTTGCAATTTGAAGCATGTTGTCAATTGAGTTTCGTGTACTATCTCATCAATAGACTATGATGTATTGATCGTCAAAATTGTTAAGAGGAGATCACCGATGTGAAATGAGAAGGAGAAACGCCGTAGCCAGTCGTTTGTTGTAGAGTCTACCAACAGCCTACAAATTCACTTGATTTATCTGCAAGGAGATAGAAGCCACGGAAAGAGAGAGCTGGAATCTGGGAGTATTTCGACGAGAGAAGAACGCCTATTTGGAACATTTAACAGTAAATCTTGGTAATGACCCCAATATCTTCTAAACCTTAGAAGTATTAAGGTGACTAAGTGTGCATAGGTACAGTGCCATGGAATCCAACTCATTGTTGAGACCCCTATCTTATGTCAAACTTATTGATCGTTCAAATGGTTGATAGTCTTCCTCCCCTCTCCATTGATCGCTGTAAATTGATTCGTCAATCTGTCGGGTGTCGAGGCCATTCAACACATCCCTGTGACTCAAGTTAGTAACTTCCTCCATTAGCTGGGAGATGTGAGGATCATACTCATCCTTGGCAAGCACTTCTAGACCAGGAATGCAATCAATCACGGCATAGATGATGTAAGAGACACCAAAGGACCAGGCAAATCCCAATGTAGCCTCGAGAATCTGTATGCCGATCTGGCGGATGTTGCCGTCAAACAGCGCACCTCCAACGATTTCCGTTTCGCCATCATATGCAGCCACCTCTTTGCTTGCGAAAAGTCCCGTAGCGATAGTAGCCGCAAAACCGCCAATGCAGTGAGTAGCAAACGTGTCCCCATTGTCCACCCACTTCAGTTTCCGAGCGAAGTCTGTGAACTTGATTCGCAGTGCTTGTCTGATGATCAACGCGCCCACGATACCGAGACAGAATGCACTTCCTAGATGGACAAACCCAGCAGCTGGAGTGATCATCACCAATCCCGACAGGGTGCCGAGGAACGTAGAGTCGAGGGAAAAGCGGCCCGTCTCCCAATAGTTGATAAGACTCCAGGTCATGGCCCCTGAAGCAGCGCATGTGTTTGTAACTGCGAAAGCCATGACGGACTTGAAGTTCAGACTCAGTGTGGTACCGGCGTCGAAAGCTAGCCATCCACCCCAGATAGTAGCCATAGCTATCAGCTGACAGAGACTATTATGAGGCTTATGGAGCTTCAGGTGCGATGGAGTTCGCTCTTTGGATGCCTTCGAGCGAAATAGGGGATGTGAGAGATAGACGGACATTGCTGTGGCAGTGGCACCGCTGCAGACATGTACAGGAGTGCCGCCCGCGAAGTCCAATACGCCCAGTCCCCCAAGATAACCGTTGTCTGACCATACCATGTGTGCCAGAGGGCAGTATACCAGGGTAGCCCAGAGGAAGATGAAGGGAATCAATGGGAGCAAGCGCCCTCGCTCACACGCTCCTCCAATTGAGATGGCCGCGACAGTAGCACAGAAGATGAGTTGGAATTGGCTGAAGAGCAGAGTCGGTATCGTGCCCATGGGTTCCCAGATGGCGCCAATGTGGAAAGCATGGCTCAAGTCACCGAAGAGACCGTTCCCATCGCTATAGGCAATCGAGTATCCGATCAGATACCACTGGATAGTGCATACGATGAGAACGAGGAGACTGGTGTAGATGGCGGACATGGCATTCCGGCGTGTCGAGTAGCCGGCATAGGCTAAACCCACGGCCGGAACGATCTGCCAACATATCGTGCTGCAGAAGATGATGAAGAGGATGTCGGTCTTGTCGAACTGCTCCCAGTCCACAGCCATGGTGACGACGTCTGAAGCCATCATGAGCACACTGAGTTTACGGGCAATGAATAATGCCGGCGGGAGGGAAATGTTACTTTTCAATGAGACACGGCCTCGAACCGCGTAACTTGGCTTATCAACTCAATCTGAGACAGGGATGGTCAATCATTCCCGAAATGGCAATTTTTTGGGCCAAATTCTTATCATCTGGATGTGAGTGGACGCAATTTCATCTCTGCGCCCGCAACAAGACCAGGCCAAGCCGCCCTGCAGAGGCATGCAGGTGATGTAATGGGCGTATGTACTGTTCTAGTTTTGAGGGGTATGACAGGCTTAAATGACTCTCGTAATGCTCTTTACTTGTCAGCACAACTAAGACATACATACGCCACACATACATTCACCGTAAGGGATCGCCCACATGTCTCTTGGCTCGGCCAATACTTCGCTAGCTTACTCTCGGGCATTCCCTTTCATTCCTTCCCGTTCCATAAATACTCTAGAAACGTAAAATGAGATGGTAATCTTATATCTATCATTAATTGTAAGATGTGACTGCTCAGTGAACATCTTGACCCTCAGTGTGTACAAGCCCTTTGCCCCCCCACTTGAGAGGCAATTAATTTTAATATTTTCTGTCTTCTTAATCCTTTGGAGATCGATTCAATATCTGTAGTTTGGCTTCAAATTAAAATGCTGCCATTGTGATGCATATCCTCACACTATTCAGATTCACAGAACCTGAAGGTAAATGGGGACTTTTCACGGATATGAGCCTCTCCCATTGACCTGTCCAATGAAAACCTGAGTGTTCCTTTGAGACCTGGCGTTGAGGGATAAATGATAATACACTTCTGGGGTTAAATACTATTTTGGTAAATGATTGCAGACATAACACAAGCAATCTCGGGTGCGACTGCCTGGCAGGAGAATGCCAATGCTTCTTTAGTAGAAATTAAGAAAAGAGTCATCCATTAACATATCCATGCTCCATGGGGTGAGTGAAGGATATATAAATTGTTGTTCGGGGGTAAATTCCCACTGGGAATTCGAATGACCCCTCGAATCAGAGCCCGCCTCAGCAATACGAAGCTCCCTCGGAGTTTGAACGCGCCCGTCATCAGCCCGATGCCGGTCGCAGCCGTGATAGATGTCTAGTGAGGGCCCTCCATCGCCACTTGTAAAGAGATCGCCGGGTTGAGATGATGGGCTTACTTCTCCCACATGACTATGAGTAGCGGGTTGGGCTTTTCGATACAAATGCTCACACGCCAATCGAAGAGGGCGAAGATATGTATTGGGATTCTCCTCGTTAAAGAGATCGAGTATCTTCAATGTGGCACTTACAGAACGCAAGTCCCCCGCTACGATAACTTCCTCGGGCTGGCGGATGGCATTGATGCAAAGAATAATAGCGGCGCCTGAGATGATTCCAATGACATCCCTAGGAACGAGTTAAAATTACTTGAGTGATTTTGACAATAGCAAAGCTTACCAGTAGTAGCTCCTCCATCCTAGAGGCATTACCATATTTAACCCCAAAATAGCTCTAGACGCTTTCAAGCATCGGTGAATGGAAACCTTGGCCGTCGAAGGCAGAGCAGAAAAATCTACTTGGCTACGCGATGTCCAATATTGAAGCCCCAAACCGCGATTTGTCACAATAACGCAGTTGTGGTAGACATAACACAAGCGCATCAGACCTTGATGTTCAGGCCTCTGCAAGGGTTGGTTCATGTCGAAAGATGGAGAAGCTGAAGAAGCCCAGGCTTCTAGTTTTTTCGTCAGACGTGAAACAGATTCGGCCATCAAACTTCTGTCCGTTGATGGTAGATGGCTTGAAAAGAGATTTCTGTAGATCTCGCCTTGGATCGTGGCTAACCGACATTGTGCGTTGAAAAGGTTCAGAGAAGAGCCATCGGAAATGGCAATAGTATCACTATCGCCGCTGTGTAAGCTGTCTGATAGTATGTCCACGTGGAAATCATGGAGATTATGGGCAGGAGGCCTGCCTGTTCTGAGGCAGAGCTCCGAATCCAGAGAGATAGCGATCCAGAACACCCGCCTTCTCATTTCGACCTCAACAGAATCCCAAGATTGATCCTCGTAGCTTGTATGAAGCCCAATGGAATGAGCTAATCGCACGGCACTCCCTGTCAGCATGAAGCTAGGTTGAGGGTTCGGTGTGCCTACGAAGAACCAGGCCATGCACAAAAGAGCCTGGACGGAGAGCAATTGGGTGTTACGCATGAGGATATCAAGAAGATTTCCCATCGCGTTAGCCGCATAATTCCATGATAGATTCTCTTTTTCTGATGGATCCTGACCCTTTTCCACACGACGACGCTGGGATATTGCCAGAACGGAGTTTAGACACGCGAACCAAGCAGGGTTCCGATCTAATTTTCCAGAATACTGTTGTCCTAATAGTGTCATAAAACTCGGCTGGTGGAAACAAGGTATCGCTTGGTGTTCTTGATCGAAAAACTCGCTTACGAGGGAGAAAGCTTCTTTCCATGGCGGCAAGGGAACCTCTGGGCTCATTGCAAATATACCTTTCATAGATGAGTGCGTCCACGCAGACCACGACTCGTTTGGAGAAGAATTCCTAGGGGGGGCTGAAGTCCATGGTGCTGGCTTTGGCCCTGTACCGATGGACGCAAGTGAAACTCCTGAGGGCGGCCCTATGGACTTGTTAGACGCAAGAATTGAGTAATTACGCAGGATATGGCATGGATTCAATATTTACCAAAGTATCTCATATCACCAGTGCTGCCCACCACTGTATCAGATCTCGCCGAGCAAGCAGCTGGTGTGAGGGGATCTGCATTGGATGCTGGAGGGCTGTTTGCTGAAGGAGCAGAATGGAGGGCGCTGGTCCCAGGAGAAGCTGGTTGATTTACCACGGTAGGGGAAATATGCAAAGAGCTATTAGGAATTATTTGTGATTCCGAATTACCACTAGGCCCGCTCAATGTACTTGAAGGGTTTTGCACGGAGCCTCTTGTACGGCGACGTTGCGGCTTGCGGACGTCAGCATAATGACATGAGAGGTGTCCAGCCTGACACCGAGTGCATTCTGGTCGTATGCCATCACATCGGAGTTTTTTCCTGCGGCAAGGGTCACAAGCCTACTTTTTAAATGGGTTAAGCTGCCGTTTTCACTAGAGAAGACTGAAAGAGAACCGCACCTTTGCAAAACGTCTCCGCCGATCGCCATACATCTTTCACTCTGTTCTTTGACTGTTCCGGCCGGCCTTGCACCCCCAGTGATTGAGTTCCCCGAGAGACAGGGAAAGATGATGAACATATTTTCCGTCTCCAAGTAGCAAATCCGTGCTACTGAGCAATAGCAGCAAACCCCCACTTTCGTTAATTCCGGAAGCCTCGGCATTTCGAGCCCCAAAATCGGGTCTTTGGCATGTTCAAAACTCCGAGGTCCAAAACTCCGATCCGCTATACGTCATCCAGCGAATGTCCTAAACCCCTTGCGAGTAGACGTAGGTGACATATTGGATGAATTCCCAAATTGACTCAGACTCGCTGATTATTCTTATTGTTCATGTCACGTCACGGGTGTGTTCCTTTATCAGATGTTTCTCGGGGGGGCTACGAGGACAGGTGTATGTGTGTACGTTCGTGTGTTTGAGAGAGACAGTGGGCTTGTATTTGGCTGGCCTAGCTATCTATCCCTCTTGCTGCCTTCCTTCCTCCTCTCCTCCCCAGTTATATATAATTTTTCCAACCCAGGCAACCTTGGTAGCTATCTTCACGCTACAGGCAGCAGCGGTTATAATTACTATATCTTAGTAAATCGCTTTTATATTTAATAAAAGATAGCTAATTACTATATTTTATCTTAATATTAATCTGATTAAAATACTCCTCTTTAAAGGAGTTATTTTAACTAAGGATCTAAGATCTAAGTTAAAAAAGGCTAATAGTCTATTTAAAGCTAAGCTTAGAGAGATTTTTAATCTCTCTAACTATCTTAACTAGCCTAATAAGCTTATAGTTATTAGTATTAACCTTAGGCTAGATCTTTAGAGCTTAGTTATTCAGTTAGTCTGACTGAATAATAGGTACTATAGTAAGTACCTGCTTCCTCTGTTTGGTTCTCTTCTTCGTTATAGTGTATTTTCTTAGACCGAGATGTATAACTGTTATCGAGGTTTAGAGGCAGACCGGGCGAGAGCAAGCGCAGGCTCGGTTAGATGTTTGAACTGGAGTTAGAGCGATATTAGTAGAGAAGTCGAATGATTTGACTAACGGCGAAGGTGGTGTATTAACGAAGGTGGCGACAGGTGATACTTGGCTTGTCTGTAGTAATATATAATACTTAGATTATTTAAATTAATAAAGGTAGTAATTTATAAAGATTATTAATACTATTATAAGTATAGATAGACTTAAGCTATATAGTTTATTCAGGTTAATAATAGCAGCCTTTATAAATAAAAATTAGTATCTTAAGGTTTATAAAAGGAGTTATACTGATAAAAAAGTTACTACTAGGTATAGCCTTTAGTATTAATAAACCTTATATATAATATAAGTATAGCTATTTTAGTATTAAACCTTAGATATAGCTAGATATAAAGCTTATAGCTATAAAGCTGAAGTTTATTATATTATAATACCTAGGTATAGTATTAAGTTATTAAATTACTGGTATCTGGGAATTTCCCCTTTTTTTTTAGCAGCTGTATAGCTCCCTTACTTACTATATCAGATATTTCTCGGAAAAGGGGTATCTTTATTAACAGCTATAGTATATCATTACTTATAATTAGAAGACGCCACCTCGTTCAAAATAGACACGGGGACTTGGACAATCTTGTCTCTGAAATAATCGATGAAGCCTTTGCCAAAACCATCCAAACGCTTTGAGCTACTCACTCCCCGGCCTAAGATACCATAGACCACGAAATGGACGGTGGAGATTTTAGGAAACTCGACTCGCTCAATGGAAAAATCCGGGTGCCAGTCGTCGGTGAGCATCTCTTGAACTTTAGCACAAGACATGTAAGAACGAAGCCACTCCCACTCATCCTGTGTCTGAACGAATAATCCGAAGTTCAAATTGGCCCCCTTGTCACCCGAGCGTCCTAAAACAATGTCACCCAGTCGAACTTCGCGAAGATCGCCCGTGAACTGTGCAGGGTACTTCGTGTCATAAGACTCGCGTTGCTCTAACTGCTCAAAGCGAGGAGGTGGCGATGTGTCGAAGGAGCTGGTCGTACCGTCGCCGTTGACGAAATGACACTGCTCGCTGAGATTGGATTGATGCCACAAGGCAGGATAATAAGCTAAATAAGGTCGAGGAATTGCAGTGCGCATGTCCAATGAATTATGAAAGCCTTGGAATGTGTTTGGTAAGCCATCGCTGTACGTACTAGATAAGCATTCACTTACCAGAGTAGTGCTTCAAGGAAATATGCCTGACAGCAACAGCAATTGCTCGAAGGGCTTGGAGATTGGTTGACTGGGCAAATATTCGAAAGTAGACGGTGCTGCTGTTTTGATTCGCAGGATTGGATGCGGGAACGCCGATCCTTTTTTTCGTGTCAGAGCGATCAAGGTTTATTTTAATATGAGGAGGCAACATACTGTTGGACTTCGAAAATATCGAGTTCATTCATCGTCTCTTCTCCCATGAAGTACCGAACTTGCTTACTGAAGAGTTCAAACTTCTTGTCTGTCGCATAGCCTGTGGCATTAACTAGTAGTTGAACTTCATGTCCACCATTATAAAAGATGGCAAGTTTAGTGGTATCTGGGGGCGGAGCACCACGAATTCCAGTGACACGGACCCTGGAGATGGTCAGCCAAAGATTACCCAGAGCCTGGACTGGTAACTGACCTGTTTTCTCCAACTTGCTCCATCGCGACATCATCAATATACGCTTTGACATCGCTGTTAAGGTAGACGCTGCCCTGAAGCTCATACACTAGCTGAGACCTACACGTATCGATAGTCACCATGCCGCCTGTTCCTTCATGCTTGGTGATGACGCACGATCCATCTTGAGCAATTTCAGCGATGGGAAATCCAGGGTTGATGAGGTTATCGAGATCAAACGCATCGAACCCGGCAAAATTTCCCCCAGTCACGTACGACGAGCACTCGATCAAGTGTCCAGCGATGAGAGCACCGGCCAGTTCATGGTAATCTGTGATTTTCCAAGACCACCAATGCCAGGCACAGGCAATGACTGGGCTGGCGTCCGAAACCCGACCGCATATGACAATGTCGGCGCCATTCTGAAAAGCCTGGTAGATCGAATGAGCGCCCAAGTAGGCATTTGCAGATACAATTTTCCGAGGTTCTTTTCCGTCTTGGGCGAATATGAAGGATTCATCAGAGATGACAACATTCTTGTTTTGAGAGTCGAAATGAGGCAAGGAGGCTTCCTTCTGTTGTGGCATGAAGGAGCTAAGCTTGGGCAGAACATCATCTCCTGACACGTAGGCAACTTTTAAGTCAAAGCGTTTTTCCCGGATCTTGAATGTCTCAGCTTTTATCTTTCGGTGATACTCTTAGATGTACATACCAAGGCAGCAACTTTCGTGGCGAGGCCTCCAGGATTAAGGGCACCACCATTTATAGCGACTTTGATCCGCTTCTGTGCTATGACGGGCAATGACTGTTTAAGACCTTGCCAAGCCGTCTCCTCGTAGCCAGAATGCTTCCCCTGCGCAAAAGCCTCCGCATTGTTGGCCATATTGACCTCTTGACATCGTTAGTACGTACACTCATGCCAAGACAAGTTACCCCAAAGGCGGGGAAGACGCACCTGCAAGGTAGTCACCGGTTATGAAGTCGACATCGCCGAGCGTGGCCTGGTTATACATTTCCTCAGCTGGGTCGCCTATGTGCGTTCTATTAGCCTATTGTCGTCAAGTCGGCTATCCAAGCTTCATACCGTGGTAGCCTGAACAGTTAGCAACCCGGGCAGGTCGTAAACCGAATTCTCCGGCTCTCCAATTCATGTTTGAGGTCATAGTAAGGGATACTAATTTCGACCAAGAGAAATTTAGATGCCAAGGATTGGTAAATTAGGTAGGAGAATTTCGCTGTGTTAGGTCCGTTGTCACTGTCTTTGGCAAGAGCTGATCGGTAGGGATAGATACTCAATCCAATTTTAGGACAGTCATAAATCGGAATCCATGGAGTTTTAAGTATTTTTGAAGATCATTTGAATACGTACGTCAACGAAAGATTCCAAGTCCCGGAAAACAAAAACCGGTGGCCAGAACTCCGAGTGTCGGATTCGGGGTGATCAACTCAACAGCTCGAAATATTGACAACAGCATTCCAAGTGGCAGGTACCAGAAGGTCCTACGCTATGTTGGCCTGCTGGCTGATGCACTAGAACTGCCGACGTCATTTCATCTCGGAGTTTTGCGCTCGACATAAAAGTGGACAAGATCGGAGTTTCTGCACATCAACATCGCGCGTCTTTCGGCCAATTGATACCACCTTGAAAGTATTTATTTTAATAAACTTCCCCCCTCATGTAATCTTTCCAATTCTGATCTGTACCAAGTTTCACACTAAATTTGCGATGTGCGACTATTCCATATTTTCAGAGGCTTCGCGCATCCTACAAGATGTGCTGCTTGCAGACTCCCGCCTGGGTCTCCCGCCGTCCTTCGTCGAAGCTTCCAAGACGATCAAGTTCGTCGGTGGAGATGAAAAGCCTTTCGTTCTTACCCCTTTTAAAATGACCGAGTCAAGTGCCGCATTGACTGCTCTAGTAGCCACTGCTGCAAATGTGGCCGCTGCGGAGAGATACGGCATCAAGTACCAAGACGTTGAAGTCAACACGGACTTGGCCACTCTCTATCTAGAATCAGTCTTACTTCCTACAATTGGTGGAAAACACTTCCTTGAGAACAAAAAGATGGCGATGGAGCTTGGCAAAATGGATATTTATCAGATGAGCAAGCCCATCAGACGCAATGCGACCAACGTGTACAGGACAAAAGATGGGCGGTGGTACCACCTTCACGGTTCTATGAATGCGGGTCCTACGATGGCAATGATGGGCGTCCAGGATAGCGACGCCACATATGAGCAAGCTATTAAGATATACAGCGAAAAGGTCTCACACTGGGAATCACAGGAGATTGAACTGGTAGCCAACGACGAATACAAACAGGCAGGTGTTCTCTGCTACACACCTGAGGAATTCTTCTCAAGCGAGCATGGGAAAGCTATGTCTCAAGTGCCGCTATGGGATTCGAAGCCATTGCGAGCACCGCGGAAAGGTTGGCCAGACATAAAGGACCACGACAAGTATCAGCCTCTTGCAGGCTTCCGAGTTATTGACTTTTCTCGTGTCATCGCAGCTCCCGCTGTCTCCAAGCTTCTAAGTCTCCTAGGAGCTGATGTACTTCGTGTATCTTGCGACAAGCTGCCTGAGATGGTGGCAACAATGCCAGACCTGCAAACTGGAAAGCGGGATACGAATATTGATATGAAGACTGAAGAGGGGAAGCGCACCTTTGCTGAGCTCGTCAAGGGAGCAGACATTCTCATCGATGGATTTCGCCCTGGGGTTCTCGATCGCCTTGGCTTCAACTCAAAGATCTTACGCGAATTGAATCCCAGCCTGATCTACATGCGAGAGAACTGCTACGGCTTTAAAGGTCCACTGGCCTATAGATCGGGCTGGCAGCAGATAAGCGACTGTCTAGTCGGCCTATCTTACCTTCAAGGGCAGTTCCTTGGCCTCGATGAAGCCGTCGTCCCTCTTCTTCGTGAGTCTACTTGATCTAGGCCCTGATTACTCGTTCTGTTCGCTAACTTTGGATCACAGCCAACTCTGACTACCAAACAGGTTTGGTTGGTGCAGTTGCCGCCATCCAGGCCTTGATTGCTCGCACAAAGGATGACGTGACATTTGACATTGACATCAGTTTAACCCAATTCAACATGTGGTATTACCAGCTTGGTTTACACTCAAAGGAACAACAGACCGAATTACTCGCTCGCGATCCAGAGTTTAAACCTCGCCACTTTGACGATATGCCCGTTTTGGTCGCGAAAACGCACGCGTCGCTCAAGCGAGTTCGCCCAAACATGTTCAAACACCCAGAGTATTTCTGGGATATGAGTGGTAAAGAATACGGACTGGAAGAGGACCTGAAGGTTCTTGCCCCTGCCTTCAAATTCAGCAAGTCACATATTGGTTGGAAAGAGCCTACGGGGCGCAGGGGGCGATCGAAAGCAGAATGGATATCCTAGGCATCTTTAGGGAGTCCATTATCAATCCTTTTTGGATTTTACTGTTGCAGGATCTTTTTCAATAACTAAAAACCAATCATTAAGCTTAATATACGGTGTACTGCAAGAGAAGGGCTTCAGATTCCCAGTCGAATCTCCCGCTATGGGCCACAGCACATAGACGGCCAGCACGAGACCAATTCATTGGATAAAGGTACATAAATAACCTTGGTCACATATTGCTTTCTACCTAGTTCATTTCCACCATAAACCTCTGAAGCTATGTTATCTGACTTGGGAATTCTTGGAGTTAATTGTCTGGGCAGAATCTCCTACCCTAGACCTAATCGGTAATTCAACTCAGGTAGAACTGATGGAAAAGCTTATGGTATTGGTATGAGAATAAATAAACGAATGATTAAAGTTTTAAACTACCTTTTATCTCATTAGTCTAATGTTAGTAACACCAAAATTATCGAAGGTGTTGTATCTACGAATAAAAATACTCGCAAATTACAATACTATCTAGCTATGTAGCAGATCCAACGAGCGTAACAAACAATTTGCTTATCAATCCACTCGCATTATGATATTGATCCTAAGCATAGTAATCAGAAATGCAATTAATGGCTCTGCAAGATTGAGCTTAATATTATTTTTATGATTGGGTTAATTGTTTCTCAACTCCAACTTATGCCGGCCGTTCGTTCGCCTGCTGGAGCATGATTGGCCTTTGCGTTTTCCCCCATCAAACAGGCGGATGTAAATTCCCCTTTGAGTTTAGCCCTTCCATAAGCGACCCACTGATAACCGATGACAAATTCAAAGCTCAAGAGGGCAAACCTGAGCACATTCTGTCATTGTCTCCGGATGATCTTCCTGGTGAGAATACATTATTTTTAGATGGAATTTGGTGTTTGTCTGTAGTATGAAGATCGAATTAGTGCCCAGTTGGGAGATTGCTAAAAAAAGGCGCAGAATAGAGTAGAATATCTGATTGTTGGACCAAATTACTCAACTCGACTCTCATTGGTCAATTGCCAGCCGTTTGTCCTTATCTCACCCCCTTGCGAGCTCTTATCAAGCACTCCTCAACGGCCAGTCTTGCTTATCTCTGAAGCCAACCATAATGAACAGACTACTGCTAAATTGTGGGAGCATCCGATCGCCGGAATCCATCTTCTGGCTCACGTACGGAGGTGATGGATGTCTCTTCCATCACCTGTCTTGTCCACCGCAGTGACCTTGATGGACGTCCTGCACATGGAGCCCCCCTTTTCTCCCCAGCTTGATGCTTCTCAGTCGTCCAATCCCCGACAACTAGTCACCATCTATGCCGACCAACAGGTCGAGACAGGGGTGTGATGAGTGCCGAAGGAGGCGGAGAAAGTGTGATGAGAAGAAGCCCACCTGCGGTCCCTGTTTCGACTACAACCGCGTCTGCAATTATACCTTGAACCTAGTCTGGGGCGGACGCTCTTTTTCTAAATCTCGTTTTGGGACCTGTCTGCAAGCCCAGAACCCCCCAGCTACCAAAATTTGTAGAGATACCCAGCCAATATATCCCTCCTGCTCACTGCCCTCCTGTGTATGTAGCAGCATTTGATCTAGACCCAACTAACTTCTCCTTTCTTCACTACAGACAATGATGGGGGTGAATTCATCTATGGCACGAATAGCATTACCCAAGATGCCGCCTCAATACCGTACGCGCAGCTCCCGGTGATCCCGCAGAGTCTTCCAAATGGTATGCCAATGCCCCCGCGATATAGGAAGTTATTGGATTACCTTGCGAAAGACGTCTTGGCTTCTTTATCCTGCCACCCCTCTATCCATGAGGACCTATGTCGGGGATTGGTTCCTGCAATGCTGCATTCACCTCATCTACTATCTGCAGGCCTTGCCTTGTCAGCGGCAGGGTTTCTTTCTCGAGGGTTGATCATGATAGACGGCACCGACGTATCTCGAATTATTGTCCACCTGCAGTCTTCAGGCTTATCGCTGTTAAGGGCGGCCTTGGAGCGAGGCCAAATGGACGAAGTTTCGCTATCAACATGCATCATCTGGTGCCTGGCGGATGTTTTCTCAACCAGACAAGGAGTTTCATCCTGGCGCATTCATCTCGAGGGGGTCAGGGCGATTCTTGGAAGCAACAAAGAGTTTCAGGATATCCTCGCCAAGCCAGGGCCTACCCAATCTGCCCTGAAGCACCTTTACCAACTATACCTTTCTTTACAAACTTTACCACACGTCCCGTCACTGCCTCAAGTAGAATCTTTGACAGAGACAGTGGCCGCGGAGATTTCCTCGGAGTCAGAGATGACCTCTCACCCCAAAATAGACGGATTCCTGGGCTACAGCGAGGAGCTCCTCGGTGTTTTACAACGAATCGGTCAATTGACCAACCAGGGCCAAAACATCTATGGATCTATCCGCTTGGAAGCAGACATATTGCTAGGGAGAGTGAAAGGCCTCATAGCTCGGGACATGAGCGCGCCTCCGAGCGTTTCCATATCTTCCGACCTGTCCACCGAGTCTGGAAGGGACTTTGCGCTCTGCAACAAGATATTTCAACAGGCAACTTTAATTCACCTATATCGAAGGTTATACAATTTGCCTTCTGGGTCAGCGCCGATACAAGGCGCATTGAGCGAGATGATACAACTGATCAACAGCATGACGCAAGGGCAGCCCTGCCATACCTGGGTTGCAATGGCGATGCCGCTTTTTACCATGGGCTGTGAGGCATTTAGTGATGAGCAGAAAGATTTTGTGCTTGATAAAATCCACAAATTCGAAGTTTGCCTTGGTTCGCTCCATGTACGTGTTCTGAGGCAAGCTCTCGAGGATATTTGGAAGCTCAGGCTTGATCGAGGAGATGTTGATGGGGCTCTTTGCGCTGGACTATTTCTGAGTAAGCAATGCCCATTCGCTGTTAATGTCTAAGCTAACTCTGGATTCACCAAAAGACGAAGTTCAGTACAATATTGTGCTTTTCTGAATGGTTTTTCTTTTGCAATCTAGGCGTGCTTATGATTCTATACGGGACTTACACGTTGATCGGCCCAACGCTTAGATCAATGATGGGCTTAACGAGAATGATAATGAAAGAAACGTTTTTATTTTGACAAGTCCACCTCTGCTATGTACTATGAATGATATGGAAGACTGAGGCCTGCTTACCTCAATACACGCCTCCTATTCTACAGCCTCACTGTATCGCCATTTCAAGGTCACACATGGTGACTTCCCAAGCTTTTATCCCTCCAAGCCTCAAACATAGATAATTTACAATTCGTCGTTAGCATCGATCATCTTGCTCAGAGGTCCCTTTTTAACCATGATGCTCATGACCTCATACAATATATCGGCAGCAGCCATCGTGGTGAGTTCAGCGTTGGTATCATACGCAGGCTATATATAACGTCAGCTCATGCTTCTAAGACAAGGGGAGGAACAACCTACAGCAACCTCGACAATATCTGCAGCAATCAAGTTCAGGCTCTCCAAGCCTCGGAGAATAGTGCGGAACTCTCTGGTCGACCAGCCACCAGTCTCAGGGGTTCCGGTAGCAGGGGCTACGGAGGGATCTAGTGTATCGATATCGATCGAAAGGTAGACGGGGTTTTCGGTTCCGACTCGCTTGAGGATGCGGTCAATGATACCATCAGTGCCAATGGTGTCGATCTCACGGGCTTCGACGATCTCGAAACCGCAGTATCCGTCGTTGTCGTAGTCGCTCGGCCCGCTGAGGGTGGTTCGAATACCGGCGTGGATGTTGGAGTGATTGGACAGCAGACCCTCCATGGACGCGTGATAGAAGTAGGTGCCGTGGTTGATGCTCGCGACCTCGGAGGGAGAACCGCCAAAGACCTTAGGCTTCCCTAGGCGGACAAGTCAGCATATTCGTCAGGAATTATAAAGCAATGGAGGATAGGATGGGTTCGTGTGGTGCCTAAAGGACTTACAGGTATCAAGATGGCTGTCAAAGTGAATGACTGTAACTGGCCCGTACGCCCGATTAATCGATCGCAAGAGTGGAAGAGTGATGGTATGATCGCCACCAAGGGTAATGATACGGGGCAGAGTCTTGCCACTCTTAGCAGGACCCTTCTTGTGAGCATCGGTCATTGGAGGGCGAGAGAGAAGGCTAAAGTGGCCTTCTTCGATTTGGCGGAGGGCGAAAGTGTTGTCATAGCTTCGAACCCAGTCAATGGATATCTTGCGTGGTGATAAAAAGTTCTTGCTTACGAGGTAACGGGGATGTCGCCGCAGTCCAGCACGGTAGCCCAGCTGTTGAAAGGGTTGGTAGCGAGGGGCACATTGTAACCTCCACTAAGAAATGCTTGTCAGCAGACAGGAACTGGAGGAGGGGGTAGTGGAGTTGGTAGGCATTGGGCTTACTAGAGGTTCAGTCTTCGAGAGCCCTGGCGAATACCGGAGGGGCCGAAGCGAGCGCCGGGGCGGTACGAAGTACCAGTGTCGAAGGGTGCACCTGTAGAGAAGAAGGTTAGCTCTCAAGCAAGAGTCTTCTCGTGTTGAAAGCTTCATACCGAGAAAGGCAATGTCGTATTTGACATTGGCTTGGTTCAAGCAGGGCTGGTAGGGAAGGCGGCCGAAGGTAGAGATGCCAGAAAAGACGGAATCGGCCTGAGTGCCACCGTCTCCAGGAAGAGTATTGTACCAGAGACCCTCGTGAGGTCCGGACATGGCTTTTTGCTTGTGATCTCCATGGGCCGAGGCGATTGTTGCCCAACTAAGGGCAAGGAGAGAAGTGAAATGCATAGTTTTGGAGTAGAAGGAACACAGAAAGGGATTTCCTTACTAACACAAGGTGAGATGTGGAAATTGAAGGTGATGAAGAACCATGGGGTAGAAAGTCCTGGCAACCAGTATTTATGCCTTGTCTCGGCAAAGTTGCAAGTGGTCATGAATGGGCAACACCTAGATCTCCCTCCCTCTTCCCATCCGGTTACTCCTCACCATCAGACCAGTCCTTGACTAAAGACTCAACCACTTGATGCATTATCGTCCACCTGTAGGTAGGGTGTCGTGACGTTCTGATATGCGAGGCGCGTAGTTGCCCCGAAAGGGTTTAGCCATGATGATGCGAGTCGGAGGGATCGAGGCCGTGGATTCACCCCATTCAAACGGTTTCTTCTCTCCCCACAAAGTGCCTAAGTTGCCTAAAGGAGTAAGCGGGGTAAGCGTCTGATAAGGTGCCGTGTCGAATGAGAGCTCAGGAGCGGTCACTTCCTCCAATGGCATATTTGTATCTATCGGGTTCACTACCTCCACCACTAGGGAGCAGACACGACGAAGTGCCGCTTGGCCAATGTGAGAGCTGTATCGGTATTGTATTTCCTCTTCCTTTGCATGGCGTCATTTGTAATGCAGCTTTGAAACTAGCGGTGGCGGATCCAACTAACGTGGCACCGCATTTCTGTTGCCCCCTTTTTTCCACATGAGAGATATTTTCTGAGAAGAGAAAAAAATTGTCTTATACTGGATAAATGCATACTCTGAGCTTTCTAATATGACGGAGATATGGGAGACGACATTACTGGCTTATCCTTTCGGTTGGTAATAAGAAGGCATTCATTGATACATGTGTCTTATTTAAGAGTACGTACGTAAAAGCCGCACTTGGCCTGACACTCTTCGCTCGTGACCTTGGTCAGCTTGTACGACATCTTTCAGCTGTGGCTTGACGCTACTTCACCCTTGCAAAAAACGACATACCTTCCAACGCAAAAAATTTACACGGCAAGATTGCACAATAATTTTGTGTCAGGTTCCTCATAATCATCCTGAAGAACATGAGCTCTCCTAAACACCAGCTGCCGGGGATACCCGAGTCTATAGAGGCTCAACCCGATGAAAGCTCCCGCCTACTTCCACACGCCTCGTTGTCGTCCTCAATCAGTACGGTGACTCCTGATGAGGACAATTATGAGAAGACCCAAGGATGGCTGGCGGAGATGTGGTTCTTGACAAAAGCCTCCATTCCAGTCATCCTCGCGTACATGCTGCAAAACAGTCTTCAGACTTTTTCTATCCTTATCGTTGGCCGCCTGTCTCCCGAGGCACTGGCCACTGCCGCCTTTTCATTCATGTTTGCTATGGCGACAGCCTGGCTCATTGCCTTAGGTGGAACTACCGCCCTTGACACTCTGGCATCGAGTAGCTTCACAGGCTCGTCGGACAAGAAAAGCCTCGGGATCCTTCTCCAGCGAGGCATCATCGTCCTCACGGGTTACTACTTGGTCGTCATGATCATCTGGTTCACATCGGAGCATATCTTCCGGGCTCTGGGTCAAGACGAGTATATTTGTCGTCAGAGTGCTCGCTTTTTGCAATTTCTAGCCCCTGGAGGACTTGGATACGTTTGGTTCGAGTGTATGAAGAAATACCTCCAAGCGCAGGGCGCGTATCGAGCAGGTACATACGTTCTACTCATCACGTCTCCTCTCAATGCACTCTTGAACTATTTCCTCATTTATAAGCTGGGCTTGGGGCTGGATGGAGCACCTATTGCTACAGGTATCTCTTACTGGCTTTCTTTCATTCTACTGGTGGCCTACTCCGCTTTCATCCAAGGCAAAGAGTGCTGGGATGGATTCGCCCCAAGAAAGGCATTGGCTCATCTCTGGCCGTTTGCCAGACTGGCTTTTCTCGGAGTGATTCATGTCGGAACAGAGTGGTGGGCGTTTGAGATTGTTGCTCTTGCTGCTGGCCGACTTGGAACAATCCCGCTTGCCGCCCAGTCTGTTGTTATGACGGCGGACCAGATTATCAACACGATTCCCTTTGGATTGGGCGTAGCAGCATCCTCTCGCCTTGGTAACTTACTAGGCGCAGAAGATACTCGGGGAGCAAGACGCTCTGCACACAGCGCTGCCGTCCTGTCGGTGATATTCGGCGCAGTGATTCTCACGGTATTGATGATATCGAAGAGAGAAATTGGAAAGCTCTTCAACGATGATGAGCGAGTCATTGAGCTTGTGGTTGCAATCATGCCTTACGTTGCATTATTCCAGATTGCAGACGGATTGAACGGTAGTTGCGGAGGAGCACTCAGAGGCATGGGCCGCCAATGGATTGGAGCAGTGGTAAATTGTATTAGCTACTACGGTTGCGCTCTGCCTGGTGGTATCTATCTGGCGTTCCATGGTTGGGGGCTACAGGGGCTCTGGATGGGACAGTGTGTAGCTCTGTTTCTTGTTGGTATACTAGAATGGATCATCGTAGGGCTGAGTAACTGGGACGTAGAAGTGAAGAAGGCATCGGATCGACTGGTGGCCGGCGGAATGGGAGGCGGAGGATATGGCACAATTCACGGTGAAGCGTAACTCGGCTTGAAGATGTACATCTTGTTTAGTTTGATCATTAGTAGGTTTGATTATCCGATATATTCAAGAGAGACCCTTTTCATGCTCGTCTATCTTGCCAACTCTTGTCCAGTAATCATGCAATTATCGAGATGATCGCTTTGCTTCCTTATCTTTCGCCCGCTCGGCCGGGGTTTGAGGTTGGTTCCACTCCCCCTTGTGCCCCCACACACCCCAACACTGGTTGTGATAAGACTCTGGTGACATTCCGAGTGTTCCAGGCACTGTTTGATAAGAGAAGCCTCGAAGTGGCGCCTTTTTGTATGCATGATGGTGCGCGTTGAGCAGGGCTGACCACTTTGTTCCCATACTTCGCCAGCCATGAAGCATATCCCCCGTTATCTTCATCTCCCTATAGAACCCATTGTGCAGGGTTGCGACAACTCTATATATATTGGGGCCATCTCTCTCTTTTGTGCAATGCTACTACCTAAATCAGTGGCATGAACCCTAAAGATAATCAGTTTACATTTGATTCTTAAGCCCTGTTGCTACCGTTTACACAAACATTTTCTGGCTTACTCCCATCATGGGTACATTCACCAACGAAAAGTCCTCGGTCAGGGCGGAGAAAAGAGCCATACCCAGCGAAGACACTGTTGCTATTCCTGAGAGCCGAGTCAATGCGTCTGGCCACAATGATCAACTCAGTCGACAATACGGGCTACTCGAAGCCGCCGGCATGGCAGTCACAATCAACAACGCCTGGGTTGTCCTGGGTTCTTCCATCTCAGTTTCTCTCTGTAAGTGTCACTAGATGAGGAAAACTTCTATTGAAAGACTAACACCATCTCATGATTAGTGAACGGGGGCCCTCCCGGTGTCATATTCGGCCTCATCGTGGCAGTGTTCTACTATAGCTTCATCGGCATGAGCCTTGCGGAGGTACGTCCGATCCACGCGATAAAATATCCAACTGGGACCTAAAAGGAAGAACATAGTTCGCATCGTCGTTCCCATCTGCGGGAGGGGTCTACCACTGGGCTACCATCGCCGCCGGGCCGAGTTGGGGGCGCGTCACCGGTTTCTTCACAGGTTGGCTCAACTTCTATGGTTCAATCTTTGGTCTCGCTTCGCTCGTCCAAATAGCCGCCAACGCTGGAGTACAACTCTACGCCATCTATAACCCCGAATACGTCTCCGAAGCCTGGCACGTTTATATCGCATACCTCGTTATCCTCCTCTTTAGCACACTGTTGGTTCTCTTCGCCAACCGACTCGCACCATATTCTCAACATTTGGGTTTATTCTTGGTTGTCTTTGGAGGCATTGCCACAATTATCGTGCTTGCCACAATGCCTTCTGAGCATTCATCGAATGACTTTGTATGGACCTCCTTCAACGAAAACAATTTAAGTGGTTGGGATGGAGGTATTGCGTTCATGATTGGTGTTCTAAATGGCGCCTTTACGATTGGAACAACAGATGTCATAACTCATATGGCTGAAGAGATGAAGAATCCTGAGAGAGACCTTCCCAAAGCCATCTTTTTGCAAATCGGCATTGGTGGTGCTTATGGTCTGGCATATGCTGTCGCTCTAGCATACGCCATCTCGGATATCACTGCACTCGACGCTGGTGTGAACAACTTCCCACTCGCCGGGATCTACAGGCAGGCCACAGGAAGCCCGGCTGCTACCTTCGGGCTTTTATTCATCATCTTCCTGTCTGTTGTATGTTCCGTTATCGGCAGCCTACTCTCTTGCTCGCGAACCTACTGGGCGCTGGCTAGGGATAATGCCGTTCCTCTCTCTGGCGTATTCCGGAGAGTGAACGAGACTTTGAGCTGCCCGCTGGAGTCAACTCTATTCGTTGCAGTCGTGACAACGGCAATCGGAGCTATCCCCATCGCAAGTTCTGTCGGCTTCAGCAATCTTACGGGATCATTCATCATCCTTAGCACGGTTTCATACGCTATCCCAATGGTCGCAAATCTTGCAACTGGACGAAGGTACTTTACTAAGGGGCCTTTTAGCCTCCGTGGCCTGAGGGGATATGTGGTTAATTCGTTGGCTATCGTGTTCATTGTGTTGTTCGACATCTTCTTTTGCTTTCGTAAGTTGACTGTGATTTATTTCCTGCCCTCTAGCTTTCCAATAAATCGGCATACTCACACTTTTTCTTACAGCCTTGGCTTTGCCTTTTGACGTGACAACAATGAACTACAATTGTGTGATCCTCGCAGGCGTTCTCGTAATTACTGCCTTGTGGTGGCTGGTACATGCGACAAAACACTACCCCGGCCCTATGTTCAAGGATATTTACGTACACGAGGAAGAAACGCAATCAGAAAAGAACTAGAATGTACAAAAATAAAAA